TATATATATATATATATATATATATATATATATATATATATATATATATATATATATCACTACAGCAAAACAGATGGTGGATGTTTTTTCTATTGGAATTCAATAGAAGAGGTTGTTCAATGTTCTTGCCAAGAGTTTGAATTTTCAGGAATTTTGTGCAGGCATTCTATTCGAGTACTCAGTGCTCATAACTATTTCATGTTGCCTGATAAATATTTGTTGGCTAGGTGGAGGCAAGAAAATCCATTGGTTCTAAAGTTTACTCATATGATGAAATCCAGTAATGATAACAACGAGTTCCAGAGTCTTCATTCTACATTCAGAGATTTGACTCTTGAATCTTTAAAGACAAAAGGTCGTCTTGAATATGCTAAGAAGGAATTGCAAAGAGTGCTGCAAATTGTTCAATGTTTTCCTGAAAATGAGCATATGAGTGAAGAGCATGAACATGTTTCTATTAGTCAATCTATAGAGAGCAATTCTCTAGATGAAGATTATCTGCAAAGAAACTAAGATATTGCAAGGTTCCTAATTGCGATGGAACTGGCCACGACTCAAGAAATTGTCCACTGAAAAGGAAAATTTCAGAAATCCCAGCAACCCAATCTCCCAACAAGTATGTATATGAGTTTCATAATATCTAATCTCTTGTTAAATAAAGATACTCATAATGCATACAAACTGAAATAAAAATTTTATTTTGGTTGCAGGATTCTAAAAGGATGGACAAAGAAGCTCTAAGTTGATCCAACTATGAAAAAGTCCTTTTGCTTACCAGAATCAGCCATTGTAAATCATAGTTTGTTGATCTCAAGTTGAATTGTGTAGAGGTAAAAAATTACAAGAAATTATTTTCTGTTTATGAACAAGAAATTAGCCGTCGTACATCATTTTTTTTGAATAGCGACATCTTTTATTTCATGTAAATTTTGTTTTAGATGAGTACAAGAGGAGGGGCTTTAATCAATGTGTTTTCATCTCTTAGTACTTAATTTGAACAAGAAATCTTTTTGCTCATTAGAACAATATATTGTATACCAGATCAATTATTTGAATAGGAATATGCTTTATTCCGTGTAAAAACTGGTTTAGATGTACAAGAGGAGGGGGACTTCAAGCCTAACCTCCAATATTATTTGGTAGAAGAGAACATCCTCTCTTACAAAATTTCAAGAATAAGCTACTAGTTTCTAAAGTTAAATTCATGAAGGAGAATCTCCTCATTGTAGAACTTATAAGTGTTATGAATCTAAAAATTTCTTGAGCTTCAAAAATATCAAACTTTTCAGCAATCATGCCTTCCAGCTACTATCCATCTTCAATCACATAGAACTTACTTCTATGCTAGACAAAAAAAAAAAAAAAAAAAAAAAAAAGAGTTACACCCATCTAGTTATTTATCCATCCAGTTATGAACATGAAACATCCTAATTCCCATTTGTAAATTGTAGGAAGTAATTAAATATATAAATAACCCAAGGAAAAATAATTGATTTACAATCTAGTGAAATACGCCACCAACCTTCACCCTTCTTATGCTTTCCGTCATCCATAGGGAGCTAATAAAATTATACGAACTCTACCAAACAAGACCAACATCGTCGCAAAATGAATTGTAGATGTGAAAAATAAAATCCTATAATTTAAGGACGAAGGCAAGAAGAAGAAAACAGAACAGATCTGTGTCCTGAAGCAGATCTTGAAAATATATTTTTAGGGCATTATTTGAAGTGGTACTGAACTAGAAGATTACCTCAAAAAGTGGTAACACAAATTTACACAACTCCAAAACTGGTAATAGTTCTAAGTCTTAGGAAGAGAAAGAAAAAAACCAGAAGAGAGAGAAGAGAAGGGGCGTGGATGGAGGACGAACTAGATGGGGAAATAACATGACTTGGCTTTAGTGTTTTATCTGGAATGACAAAAATACTATTTTTATTTGTGAGTTGCCATTGCATCATTAAGGGTATTTATG